GGTGTTTGGTTTCTGTGCTGGGCTTTGCTGATGGCAGACACCCAAGTGACACATCCATCATAAAGCACCATTTCCTTTGTGATTCAGGACTTTGGCTCCTCAGACCTGGAACAAGCAGGCCACTACCAGTCTGACTTGGAGTACGGCTGATGGAGTGTAAATAAATCCCTGAGACTGCTGGTGTGACTTAAAACAGAGTTTAAAGAGGTTTTAGTGACATTTTCAGCTCAGTTAGCTCTTGGTGCCTGTCTGGCTGCTGGTCTGACTTGCTCAGCTTAGTGCTGAGAGAGAAAGGACAGCAGCAGGCACCTAAAGCACATTAATTGTATTTATCTGACGACTGGACCTGTTCAATTTTACAGCACTTATCAAAGCAGCCTAGAAAATGAGAGTATGTCTTAATTCAGCTCTGTTCTTACAGGCATGCAGTTGTCTCCTGGGGTCTTTTTGGCCCTTTTTTGGCTTTTTCTGTAGACAGTTTTCCCCCTGTTCTGACCTTTGGAAGCCTACAAGCTGAAGAACCGTGATGATTTAAAGAAAGCAAGTGGAGATCTGTTTTCTTTGAACATAACCATTGGATTTGCAGAAACTTAGGGACTTTGAAGCTACTTCTGTACTTATCACTGTTGTGCTGCCTAAATTCCTAAATGGGAGATTGCAGAGAGAATGGTTTACAAAATCATTATGACTGAGGGAGAGTGCTGGAAATAAGAACATTTTCTGCTGAAAAGGACACTTCTCTGAAGGGTGAAGAGGATGGTTCAGTTCACCCCCTGTCACTGCTGTGGCCACGTTTGTCCTGGAGTGACAGTGAGGGACAATGAGGGACAGTGTCCATCACCTGTGAGGGGCTGAGAGAGCAGAAGGAGCTGGGAAATCCCAACCCTTCAAAGCAGCCCAGGCTCTGCACTGCTGGGCGATTCAGGCTGAAGCTGAAGTCCTCAAAACTTTTTATTTCTAATTCTTTTTAATTGTTTTATTTATGAATAAATCACAGTTTCTAAATTCTGCTGCTGCCTCCTGGAGGACGCTGGGAACAGCCAGTTACTCTGAGCTGTGCCAGTGCAGATCCTGTGGTTTTGCTGCTCCTTTTCCAAGTGAACTCAGGATTTCTGCCTGTGCCAGCACAGGCATTTCAGCAAACTGTGAGCTCACACCCAGGGATGTGTGTGAGGCAAGCTCCATTTTGTCAAAATCCTGAAAAATGCTTAGTTCTACAAGTGCTGTATTAAAATGAGGCAGGGGCTCAGCAGCTCTCACAAGGCTGCAGCTTTTCCTCTCTGCAATTAAAATTGCTGCAGCAGACACTGATGGACTGTCACTGTAGAAATCCCAGCTAGGCTGCCCTCTCAGGGAAGCTTTTTCTCATACAAGCAGAGAAGGATTTAATTTAACAAGGAAAACCTCAGGAATTGCAAACTAATCTCTACAGCCTTCTACTTCTTCCATAATATATATTATAAGGGTTTTTAAAGATCAGGCCTTGGCACAAAGAAAAATGCTACCATCAGATCTGTTAGGAATAATGACTTTGTAAGAAATAAATTTGTGCCTCATGGCCAGGGCTGTGAAGATATTATTTCCTTCCTTGGAATTGCTTAAGCTACAGGAATTGGAGAGTAAACATTTCATGCAGTATGATCCTTTCCCAAGTCAATATTGTCCTTTCAATCCTGAATTTCAAATTCAATATTATCTTCCCTTAAACAAAGGCATGCTTGGAAATCAATGCTATTTATCTTGTCTTCTGTAGCCACAAACACCAGTTTAATTTTGGTTATAGATGAAAAATGCCTGTAGACTGAAAACTACAGAAAGACAAATTTTTCCTAATTTGCTGGTTCCTGGTGTCATTGCTGAGGGTGCATGACAACAGCCACCAACAAAATCACCATTTTCAAGTGGCAGCATTGCTCCTTGCACTAGCTGGCTACTATTGGGTTTTGTTCTGTGCTTTAATAAATTTATAACTAAAAGCAAAACACAGCATTTAAAAAAATATTTTCAGGTTATCATCTGGGGTAAATTTTTCATTGCTATGAACCTTCTTTCAGGTTGTTTTTTTTATGGTGTTCCAGGTGAATTACTGGATATAATTAGAGTGATAGATCAGAGTAAGCTAAAGCAGAAAATATTCCTTCAAAAAGTCCACACTGCTTGGGGGAACGGAAACTTGTACTATATTTATTAATTAATTTGTTTGTTTGTTTAAATGGAGAAAACATCAGAAAAAAGACTTCTGAATAATGGAGAGAAGACCAATAATGTTATTTGGGAGTCAGCATCAGTGCAGGTAGAGGTTTGGCCTTGCCTGTCAAGAACAGCCCTTAAACATTCCGTACTGGTTAATGAGGTCTCAGACCAGTTATCCCAGCACGGCCCCACTTCCCAGCTCCATGTCCTTCAGGGATGAGCATATCCAGGGCTTTATCCTGGTGGGTTTCTTTTTCCATGCCCCCCCTGAGACAATCTGGCTCTGGTGCTCTCAGATCCATCACAGAAGTCACATTTTCCCCAAGGAAAGTTTACTCCAGTGACTTCCTGTGGGCAGGAACCCATCTGGGATGTGTTTCAGGAACTCAGGACAGTGATCAAGGGCTGGGGTTGAATAAACAAAAGGTAAATAGAAAATACCACACACATGGTGAACATAAGCAACAGAGCTACAGCCCCCATAGCACAGGAGCCCAGGTATTTTCTGAATTTTGTGAAGTTTTGCACTATTTAAGGAGACTGGGGTTGGGTTTTGGCTGTCCTTTCTGCTGTGTTGTGGTGAGCTCTTAGTAGTGGAAGTTACAACAGGAAACCAAAAAGGAACAAATAAGGCAAAGGCAGAAGTGATTGCTTCCTGAATATTCAGAGTTCAGCAAGTAGATTATCAAATTCTCTACCAGCCTCCAGTGCTCATATCTATAACTGCTGGGTGTATTTACACACAATAACTGCTCTCTGGAGGGGCAGGCATGCAGAAAAGTGAATTGCAAGTATCTCTTTTTGAAATGCAGTCAGGTTCCTGTCCTTGGACACTCTGGGACTTCTCCATCATGTTTGGACTCTTGGATCTGAAGATTTTCTTGATTGCCTGGACTTTTTGGTTTTTTTTGCTCAGGGTGGTTGTGGGCAGTCAAGGACAAAATCCACACTTGGACTTCTGACCTGGAGGCAACAAAAGCATCTGTGGGTTCTTTCTGATGTCATGCAAAAGGCTGGGAAATTTCTGAAGCCTTTTGATCCAACTTTAGATCACAGATTTAACTGCACAGTGGAGCAGAGCAGCCCATGGGTCTCTTCAGTGGCACAAGTGTGGTACTTAGCATTCAGATGGGAGCTGGTGTGTTGAGCCAAACCCAATTATTTGCAAATGAACCAGTGCCACACATCCTCAGGGGTGGGGGCTGTAATACCAAGTGCTGGTTTGAAATGTCATCTTTTCTTTGGGAGAATTCTCTATAGATGAAGATAGCTATTTTCAATCTAATTTTAGACAATCAGAAATAGGAATTCACTGGAGTTAGCAGATAAAATTCTAACTCTGATCATCAAAGCCATGGCAGATTTCAGCCTGCTCCATTTTGAAAGTCATGACAACGTGAAAAACGGGCTTTTCACTAAGGCTTGGCATTGTAACCAGAGCTGGCACTCACAGGCAGTGCTTTAATTATACATTATACTCACCAGTGTGAAATACTGAGCCTTATTAAGATAGCCAAAAGCCTTCTTTAGAGTCGATTTATTAGAGCTTGAAATTAACTTTTCACAGTCCAGCTCCAAGAGATCAGTAGATACAGAAGCTCAGCTCTGCCTCCAGTGAGTTCCTCATGGTTCTCCAGTGCTCTCTCCAGTCCCTCCCAGTGCCCACACCGGGTAACCCTGGTCAGCAGCAGCAACTCTCAGCCTCTCACCTCCATTACAAACACCAGAGCTGACCCTGTGCTTGCTTGGAAAGGTTTTCCTGGGAAAGGGGAACTTTGGGAAGCCACCCTGGGCTCTGCTGGGTGCTGGGGTGTGTGGCTGCCCAGGCTGGCTCTGCTGGAGCTGTTCCACACTGGGGTGATTGCAGATGAGCATTTGTGCTGCTCCTGACACAACATTTGGTCAGGATATCTGGGATATCAGGATATTGTTAAGAATTGTTAATGCAAGTCTGTCATCTGCAGATCTCTGCCAGCTGAATATGGGGAGGAGCTCCCAGCCTGATGGCATTTTAAGTTTTTCTCTCAGCAACCTGATTGCATTTTCACATTTCCAAACTCCCAGCTATCAATTCTCTGGTTAAATCTGTGGATCTGGGGCTCCCACATCTTGTGCTTCATTTCTGTTTGATGCTGCAAGGCAAGGCAGAGTTTGGAGCTCCAGATGCTGCAAGATAAAACTTCCTCCTGTTAAGGATGGCAAAAATGGGGAGCAAGGCACTCAGTGAGGGAGAGGCAGCCACAACAGCTGCAGTAAATCTGGATTTTAGTGGTTCTGGGGTGAGAATGTTGTCCTGTTGTACTTTGGGTCTCTCCACCAATACCACGGATAAACGTTTTGGCTTTAAAATTTGTCATCAGGATTGCTCAGGAGGAGTCACAGCTTTACATCTGTGCTTATCCCAGTGATTCTTTGAGGCTTTAGGCCCTGTGGGTACCAAGACACCCCCAGCACAGGCAGTGGTGTCACAGCCCTGCCAGTGTGGCACAGGGACACCTCTGTTCTTATTTTAGAAGTAGCTGTGTCATTCCTTCAGGTGACTGATGTATCCTGTCAGCTGGGTGGGAAATGCCAGACCTCCAAGAACTTGCAAGGGAGTGGTTTGGGTATCTTATCTCTGTTTTTTGGGGTTATTTAATGCCTCTGTAAGGCCTGAGCTGCCCAGGGCAGCTGTGTGATGAGCACCAGCCCTAGGGAAAGCAGGACCACGTTAACCAGGGGTGGGGGAAGAGCGGAGAGGCAGATCCCCATCAGGACGCTGCCAGTCACCGATGCAGTGCATGACTCTGCTCTCTGTCCCTCTGCAGGTGACCTGTCTCCACGATTTCTTTGGGGATGATGACGTGTTCATCGCCTGTGGCCCCGAGAAGTTCCGCTACGCACAGGATGACTTTTCCCTGGATGAGAGCGGTAACACCAAACGCACGCTGCGCCTTTATTGCCCTGCCATTCTCCTGCTCCTGCCTGAGCAAAATCCTACATGCTTTTCCTCTGGGTTTTAAGACCCACTAAATGGAATTTAACATCCCTTTGTATGGTATTTGTGGGGTTCCCAGGCAAAGGAAGGAATGATGGATCTGACTCCATGTTCTCAGAAGGCTAATTTATTATTTTATGATACTATATTATATTAAAGAATACTAAACTAAACTATACTGAAGAATACAGAAAGGATACTTACAGAATGCTGAAAAGATAATAATGAACCTTGTGACTCTTTCCAGAGTCTGACACAGCTTGGCACTGATTGGCCAAACAGTGAAAACAACTCAAATGAAACCAATGAAACAATCTCCAAACACATTCCAAAGCAGCAAAACACAGGAGAAGCAAATCAGATAATTATTGCTTTCCTTTTCTCTGAGGCTTCTCAGCTTCCCAGAAGAATCCTGGGCAAAGGGATTTTTCCAGAAAATATGTCTGGACACTTTTGTGATACTTATCCAGTCAGCAGTATTATAATCAGGCAAATACTGACTGAGGTGTAGTCAGAATAAATTAAGCCCTACAGCATTTTGACATTTACTGCAAAATCTGGGAGTATTTATACTTTCAATTTTCTCCAGTCACATTCAGATAGATGCATTTTTCTTGAGAGCTAATCATCCTTATGTAGACACATGCATATTAAAAATGGAAACAAGCAAGAGTTGAAAAAAAAATCATAGTTCCACTGCTTACTTCTGCTGATTTAAAAAGCAGGGCAATAATTCCCTTTTGGGGGGCATGACTGGGACAGCACCATTATTTTTCCTTGTCCCCACTGCCAGCAGAAATCTGTAATAATGTGAGTCTCTGTGATCAATTACACCATGAAATCTTTGATTTTACAGAATACACAGAGCTTGCTTGTAGGCCTTACCACCCACCCCACCTGGCAACTGTACCCACCTGTCTGCAGGTGCCAGTGAGTGCAGCAAGAGGGAACTAATGCCATTTTAGCCATTTAAACTGAAAGAAATGTGCTCTCCAAGCATCTAGGCACACTTCCCAAAGCTCTAGGTGTGCTCTGTGAGGAACACAAGCCCCATCCTGTGCTACGTGCTGCAGACTGGCTCTGTATTGGGGACCAAAGAGGATTCTTGCTGGATGCAGGAAGGCAAGCAGCCTCTAATCTCCAAACACTGAGTTTTTTATTACTCCTTTGCAAGCCTGATTTTATTTTAGTGCTGCTACTTCTGACCTGTGTACTCCAGATGAACCCATTTGATGGTCTTGGGGTGATTCAAAGGAAGTTTCCAAGGTTCAGCTGAGACTTTGCAGGCAGAGAATAAAGCCTGTGTCAGGCTGGGGAAGTGATCTGCAAGCTGAGCTTCACGTTGTTTTTCACCACTCAGCAGTTGAGTCAGCTCCTCAGGGAGTTCCACGCTGGAAAACAGCTTGGATGCAGTGCTGGCAGAACAACTGGATGGAAATCCCAGCCCTCTGCCTCCACTTCTGGGCACTGCTCGCCTCTCCAGCTTGGATTTCTCTGGCAGGAAGAAGCCAAGTTTGCTGTTGGGAAGGCAGTGAGCAGCTCCAGAGGTGTTTTAGAGGAGCCCTGCAGCTCCCAGGAGCAGATGAGGAGCCTCAGCAGTGTTTCCCCATTGTACACCCATCACCCTTCCTCCTTCCCAGGCAGATGCTGCCAGGAGAGCTGCAAATCCTGAGGTTTTGCAGATGAGTGTCACTTAATAAAATCTCCTCTGTCACGGGGAAATTTCTCTTGCCTGTTTGGATGACACACACCAGGATTGCTGGTTATTATGTTCACTCTGGCAGGACGTCAGGAAACAAAAAGAAACAGCACAAGAGAGGATTATGTCATCTTTTTCCTTCTGGCTGCCCACCACAGCTTCCACCCTCTAATCCTGCTGCTGAGCACCTTCCAGAGACATTGCTCTGTCCCTTTTGTACCCACAGGTTTCAGCGTGGTGGAAATGTCACACTTTGGTGACATTTAGAGGCCTTTTCACACCAACCTCAGCACAGCCAGGTTTCCACCTCCTGCAAAAGCTCAGGGATTGCCTCTGACACTTGCCAAGGGCTGAGCTGGAGGAATTCCTCAGAGTCAGCCTTTCTGTGCTGGAAAATGCAAAGCCAGGTTTCCTTCCAAGGAATTACTCCCCTGAGAAGAGCATAAATTTGGAAGCTCTTGCAAAGACCTAACATGAAGTATTTTTACTTTTTAGGTTTATTGTTTTTTAGTGAGTAATCCAGGTGACTAAACACAGCTGCCTGACACCCTTTGGGTCCCCTCACAGCACCAGTACTGCTCCTCATGTATAAAAAATTGGGGCTATATTGGGGCTGGACCTCTACAAGCCTTTCAAGTGACATCATCTGTGAGAATTCAAGTATTTTTGAAGAAAAAAACCCACAACCTTTTCTATTCGTGATTTAGAATTTCCAAAATTGATTCAGCAGGAGAGAAAATAAGCTGACTGTCGGTTTAATTCTTGCCATGCAGCATCCCTGGAGCCTCCTCTCCTGACATTCTTGTGCTGCAGGGCCCAACAGCAAAACTCTCTCTCAAACCATCCAGAAGGAGCAGAGATGGAGCCTTGGCTGGCTGAGAATGAGCAAAGCCTGGGGAAAAATTGAAGGCAATTACATTTTCATAGATACACTGATATATAATTAAATAACACATACATTTAGGTCAGACAGCTTGCTTTTGGTTGACCAATTATTTATCTGCTCTGTGCTGCCTTAATTCCTTTGGGGACTCCATTCCAGGGGGTCCTCAGTGTGGAGCATGTGGGGCTGAGCTGAACTTTTCCATAAAAAACTGCCTGCATGTGGAACACGTAACTCACATCTGTAAAAAAGACACGTTTTTCACATCTTGGTGAGGACAAGCTGTTGGAGGAGATGAGGTGGAACCAGCTAACATTTGACAAAAAGGAAATCCCTTTTTTATTGCCTTCTTCTTAACTGGGCTAAGTTAATAACTTGAGGGGTGGAAAGTTCCTTTTCTGTTAGCTCTCAGTGTAAATAAAACCCAGTTCTGAAGATCACGCATGCCTGAAATCCTGGGACACGTGGAGGTTTGTTAGCATTTCAGTTCCCCTCTGCAGGACTCTGCAGACCATGTTTACATTTTCCACTCTTCCTGGCCTATTTATTTTTTAAGGAAGCACAGTTGGGGTCCTCATCTGCTCACATCTTCCAGTACATAAATCTGCTGGGCTTGTTTATACAAACCTTGCTGAAAGGGACGAGTGGCCAGGACAGAGGATGTGCCTTGTAAAACCATTTTGTCTCCTTTGCTTTGTGCATCTGAAAAGTTGCAGCTTGTTGAGGATGGAAGAGGCTGGTTCCAGCTGGGTGAAAGCCTCCAGGGGCAGCTGCCCCATCTGCCACTTGGAGACTCCATTTACAGCACACCATAAGCTGTTTGCTGGCTCTCTGCACCTGCAGAAAGGGCACTCATCATTCCTGGTACTGGGTGTTCCTGGAAGGGCTACAGCAAATTAACTGGATTTTCTTGGCCTAAGTGTTCCCTCAGCCAGTGTTGGCCACTGACTTTCATTGTGCTCAGGAGAGCCAAGGGAAGGGGAAGGGCAGAAAATGTTTGGTGGGACACAGGTAGGAGCCAGCCTGACACCCACAGAGCCTCAGCAGCTCCTCTAGAGGAGCAGAGCTGTTCTCTTTGCCCTGCCCTTGACGAGTCTCCTTTCAGCCCTGGGGAACAAGGGATGGTGTCAGCTTTTCCCTTGCCCTTGGGATTTCCTGCATCTCCCTGGGGACCGGGCACTGAGCTGTTCAGAGCAGGGAGCAGCAGGGCCATAACCAGGTGGGTTTGTGTTTCCCCAGAGTGCCGGGTGATGAAGGGGAGCCCAGCAGGTGCCACGGGCAGCAAATCCTCGCCCACCCCTCAGAAGAGCTCGGCCAAGAGCCCCGCGCCCATGCGCCGCAGCAAGTCCCCGGCCGATTCAGGTAACCACCAAGATGGTGAGTGATTGTTTCTTGGTGCCTGCCTCTCTCTCTGCTCCAGGGAAAGGCACAAACTCGCTGTGCTTGCAAGGAAACTCAGGTGTCTTTTGGAAACAAGAAGCTAATGAATATTGGGAAGGAATCTCCTGGTTGGTGAAGCGCGGTTTTGCAGCTTGAGGTTGTTCCAGCCACACCTCATCTTTCCCCAAAAAATATTTTAAAAGAAGTTTCTATTCCCCAGGCAGGAAATCAAGGCCCACAGTGCTCCCAGGTGGTCCCTGCAGATACAGAGTGATTTAGGGTAACCTCCTGTGCAAAGCAAATGGTGATTATTGCACAGGTCAGGAGTGGCTCCTCACAATCATTATTTAAAGGAGACCACTGACCTTGCAACTGCAGAACTGCTGATGTGTTTATTGATGTGACACTGAGACACACATTCAGTAATGGAAGAGAGGGAAAATGGGAATCCTAATTTGCTGCAGCAGCTTGCACCATCTGAAATGCCTCCCTCCTTCTTCAGCAGCAGCACACGTGGGGAGCTGCAGGGCTGTCCGTCCAAGGCTGGGCTGCACACTGCAGTAATTCTGGTAACTGACTGTCTTTGGAGTCGTGGAGAGTTTCTGGGGTTATGATTGATCTCTCACCTGCCTGCCTCTTCTGTTCCAAAAGAGAACCAGACATGGCCTCTCACTAAAATGGCCAAATCATCAATTAAACATGTCAGAATTCCAGGAGAGCTCCACAGCTTGAGTTCAGGTGTCCCACAGCAACAACACAGGTGATACAAACCAGAAATTCCTCTTCACCCTCATGCTAACGTGTTGCATATTGCATGGGAACATCACACAACAGCTGACCATGAGTAGAAATGGGATTATTAGACAGAAAATTCTCTTGGCAGTAGTCAGAAGGATTTCCCCCAGGAAGCAGTTCATTTGCTTAGGGTGTGTGGGTGTTCTTCAGCGACCCAAAGGGACAGTGTGGAATTGGTTGGCACATGCCAAGACTCTGTATTTTTAAAAAAATATTTCTCTCTGAGGTGATTTTGCATTCATAAAGTTTTTCTTCAAGATTCTATTGCTGGCTATTCTCAAACTCAGGCTTGCCATAATTTAACCACTTCCACAGTCCCAAATGCCTGCTGAAGCTCTGTAGGCACATTGAAGGCAAAAGGGAAACGTGACGTTGATTTACAAAAACCCAGAAGTAACACTCAGTGATGGGGGAGCCAGCTCATGCATGAGCAGCTTCAAACCTTCTCCACAATCAGGTGCTGATTCCCACCAGAACCAGAGTTTACTGCATGAGCACAGAGTTTAATATGAAATGGCAATTATTGTGTGCCTGATTTTAACTGATTGAGCGACTCCAGGCCCAGGATGGTGACTCATCTGATGAGCTTTAATGAACACACTTAGCAGAGCTTTTCAGGGGGAGATTAAAACAACCAGAAAGGCTGAACAATAACCAGTTCCTGGAGTTAAGGTCAGTAATGAAGAGCAAATCAGGTTTCTTTAATCCGTCCAGACAAGGGACTTTCGTGCTTTCCTGTAATTTCAATAAAGGAAAAAATGGCACTTGTCCTGCTTAATGAGAATAAAAAAGACTGAGCTCTTTTAGTACTGAAAAATAGAAGACTTGTTTTCTCAGGACAGAGAGAAAAAAGAATACCATTTTGTATTCTTGTATTGAACTGGTAATAAATTAAGTGGATTTACACATCTTTTAAGAACCAATATTTACATTTAGATGAGATTTTGGAGTTATCACATTCAAAAAGCAAAGAAAGATGAATGAAGTCTGATTAATAAAAGATGATCTGACCTATTTTTTTCCCCCCAGAATCTCACCCATTTAATGTGTGAAACTATTTAAAAGCAGTTTTACTTCAAATATATTCAATATTTCTGCTGTGTGTTTGCTCTCCTACCCATTTGTACCTTTTGTCTTTGTTGCCTTTCCCTCTGCTCTGGTTGTCATGTGGAAACTCGTGAGGTTTTCCTTGGTTTTGTGTTGTTTCTGTTCTTTCCAGCTATTTTCTGTGCAGGTTTCTGTATCTTTTTTTCCCACCAAGGTCTCCAAGGCCATTGTGACATATCTGGGCACTGATATCTGTGCTTTGGAGGGAAATCTTTGGGAGAGAGGAGATTGTCAGGGCCTCACTGTGAAAAGCTCAATCCCTTTAGGCAACCAGAGCCCTTCACCTCCCAGGATATCCCAAAAAAGTCAGGTGGCAAATCCACAGAAGCAATTTAAACGTTGTTTTCTTGGCACGGTGCTTTTCTCTTACCATGCAGTCATTTAAATGAATGAACAAAAATTAAATGAATGAGTGCAAAACAAAGAAGTGTCTCCTTGCTCTAAGGAGATGGGAACTCACCCCAATCCTTGAATTCCCAAGGGAAATCCTTTCTCTCTTCCTTCACTAACACCCAACCCATATCTGTACTTCCTAAGCAATGCCAGTGGATTTCTGTCAAAATTGGAGTTACAAAGCTTCTGTGAATTTCTAAACTCAATTTTTCTTCCTAGGGAGTCAGCTTTGCCAAAAGACCCAGCTTAGAGCAGTGAAATCCATACTAAACCACACTTGCAGGGCACCAGCCAATTCTTTCTCCTAACATGGCAGAGGAAAGCTGGGCATGAGGAGAGGAGCCTCTGTGCTTCTGCTCTGATCCATGAGATTTAAATGGAGTGGGGTCAGCATGAAGTTTGGCAAAATTTCTTTAACAGACTGCTCCAATAAGGAGTCAGGCTAAGCAAAAGCCAGAGCTAAATCTCAGGGGAGAAATACAGGAGAGAAAATAATGATGCCATTTGCCATTCTTTCTTTGCTATAAAAACTTGAATTTATCTTTCACTAACTGCCATACCAAGCTAGGGTTCAGCTGTATAAGGACATGTGCTGTGAGAGGAGAGCTTATGATTTTTCAACCAGGATGGAGTCGCTGAACTAAAGTACCTGAACTGAAATTTGAAAACGTCTTTGCCTTGATTTGGCTCGGGGAGAATACAAGCAAGTCTCTGAGGCTGCTGCAGGACCTTAATGTCTCAGTTCACTAATGGACAGAGGGACAAAAGAGCATTCACCAGGCAGCAGCAATTAGCAAACAGACCCAGAGTGTCCGTCTGTCCTGGCTGCAGGGCTGCTCCCAGGGGTCATTATGGATGAGTGTGTCCAAGGGCAGCAGATGTCTGGGGAATGCCCTGGTGCCTCAGCTTTTAGCTTTTCTATTTTTCAGATTTTGTGCTGCTTTGGTGTGTGGGTCTGGGCTTCATATTATGGGATGGTGAGCTCTGTGCACAGAGCAGGGAGACAAAACAATTCCTGCTCTAGCTGGGGACCAAGGACAAATGATCCAAATCTCAGCCCAAGAGCACAAACAATCTGGGCTGAAGAGAGAAAAACAAGAAGGATGGGACTGCATGGGCTGGAGCTGGAATTGGACAATTAACTCTGGATCCAGAGCCCCAGTCATCCCAGCAAACCTAAACAACAATCAGGGAACAATTCCATGTGAAAAAACTGCCTAAAAAAGGGCCTCAAAAAAGGCTGAAGAGGGACTTTTGACAAGGGCATAGAGTGACAGGACAAAGGGGAATGGACTTAAGCTAAAGGAGAGCAGGTTTAGATATTAACATGAAATTCTTTGCTGTGGGGGTGCTGAGGCCCTGGCACAGGGTGCCCAAGAAGCTGTGGTTGCCCCTGGATCCCTGGCAGTGCCCAAGGCCAGGCTGGACACTGGGGCTTGGAGCAGCCTGGGATGGTGGAAGGTGTCCCTGTCCACAGCAGGGGGTGGGATGGGATGAGCTTTAAGAGCCCTTCCAACCCAAACCATTCTGGGATTCTAAAATATCTGTGGGGGAAGCAGACAGAGAATTCAGTTTCCCTGGAACTCTCATCTCAAACATGACAGGAATATTCTCTATCCCCCCTCTCATGTGCTGGACAAGCCTGATTTCTCTCCTGGGTACAAACTGCCTCATGCACAGGGGAGGTGAGGATCCTGTGGAAAAAGGTGCACATGCTTCTGCAATTAAAGGATATTACACATACACTTTAAGGTAAATTGATGTTGCAGAGCAAATACAATGCCATGAATAAGCCATAAAGCACAAAGAATAAAATTCTTTGGTGGGAAAACCCCAAAGAATTGAAAGGAAAGCTGGTTCTAAAGAACAGTTCCTGATAGCTGAGTGTAGGTGAGATCCTGAGCTACCCTAAATCATCAGCAGATTTTAGTGGAGCAGCAGTGTTATGCTGGGACCTGCTCTTTGCCTCCTGTTATTTTCTTGCATTTCAGTTCTAAGGAAATGCAGGCAAGTTTGCTTATGAGCACTATTCTTCATTAGCAGGCAGAGAAAATTGAACTGGGCTTCTCCATTGTTGCTCCTGCTGCAAAATTCTGCTGTCTTTGTAACAATATCCATCCATCTCATTCCATTTCTGATTTGGATGTCACATCTGGTTTTTTGTTGATGCTCATAAAATATTTACATGCCTGCTGTAGCACTTAAAACTCTCATTGTATTAGGGAATTTCTGTCCTGCCCTGCAGCAATCACATCCATTTTGCTGCACGCTGGCTCTGCTGTTGTTCCAGTCTTGTTTGTGGAAAGGAAATTGGGGTTTCTTGCAGAGTTGTTAGGTGACATTCTTCAGCTTAGGAAGGATCAGTGACAATTGGAGATAAAGAAAGAGGCATTTTGGAAATTGGAAATGGATTCTAGCTAATGGAGATTATATCAGTCCTCTTGTTCCCCACATTTTCTTTAATAGGAAACACAAATTCACTCAGTGAAATAAAACATAAAAGACATCCAAGTTCTTTTTCACTGAATTGCCTTCATTATTTGGCATACAGTTAGAGAACTCTACTTTTTTCCCCACCAGCCTGCAGTGCAGCTCATTTTGTAGAGTGGCACAGCTCAGTGCAGGGGCCAGCAGGAAACAGCTCCTGCCTTTCCAGAACAGGTTTTTTCCCCTATCAATAAAGCATGGTTTGAGTAAGATAAGGAGGTGAAGTGTCACTCTCTTCCCCAATTATCTATAAATCATTATTTCTACCACCTTTTAAAAATACCCATTTCCTCAGTTAGGTGCATTTGCAATAGGAAAAAAAGCTGTGTGTGATGAAACACCTCCTCTTCCAACAGAGGAGGAAGTGCATGGAAATGATGGATGTGAAGGCAGGGGAGCCACACCACCGTGAATTTGTTGCTTTAAGGTGCTGGCAGCTCCTCCTTTGTCCTGGGGCTTTGAGAAAGTTTCTTTTCACACTGCTTGACCTCTGCCTTTGCTGCAAACCTGAGCTACCCCCGTTCCTCACAAGGAGGTAACAGAGAAGAGCAGTGAGGCTTTCTGAGGCATTAAAGCAAGAGCTGTGCTGGTTTGGCTCTTAAAAATACATCATTCACTTATTTTACTCTATGATACTTTATACACTTCAGACTCCTCCAGACACTCAAGTACTTGATGGATTTTAAATAACTGATTTGTAGATCCAGCTGTCACAATTGAAAGCATAATTCCAATCAGGCTCTTTGGTCACTTAATCCCACACACAGCAAAGTACAGCCAGGGCATTCCAGGCTGCTGTTTGCCTAATTTTTCATTTCTATAATTGACATCTAACATTGCTTGGGTAGGATTCAGGATCTCTTCAGCCTCTGGTTTGCAGTCATGCCCTTAAACAGTTTGAGAACACAGAAATTGTCTGTTTCTCTGATGATATGTGCCTTGGATTGTCTTGGTGAGTACTTGTTGTGTGAAATATTGCTCCCTGCGTTTATTTTGTATCTCACTGTATTTTGCAGCTGAAATCCTTGAGTTATGTTTATAGCTATGCTGTTCACTTGGTTTTCTTCCTCCTGCCTAACATGAATAAACCACGGCGTTGAATGTTTGGAGACCTTCCATCTCCCCAAAGGAGAAAAACCTTCCCCTTGCTTGCCCGATTTCCAGCTTGTGTCTTGTTTTCTGCCAGCCAACGGGACCTCCAGCAGCCAGCTGTCCACACCCAAATCCAAGCAGTCCCCGATCTCCACGCCCACCAGCCCCGGGAGCCTCCGCAAGCACAAGGTATTACGTTTCTTATACCTTACTACACCTCCTTCTGCCTCTGCCCCTCAGGACTGGGTGTCATGGCCATATCCTCTGGAAGAATTAACAACAGCTCCTGGTGTTCAAACGGGAGTTTTGTCACATTTATATTTTCTGAAAAATCCCTTCGGCCAGGATTTTTCTCCTGGGAAGCTGAGAAGCCTCTGAGAAAAAGGAAAACAATTTTATTTCATTCGCTTCTCCTGTGTTTTACTCCTTTGGAATGTGTTTGGAGATTGTTTACCCACAGGTGATTGTTTCATTGGTTTCTGCTGTGAGCTGTTTTGACTCAATGGCCAGTGGGGGCCAAGCTGTGTCGAGACTCTGGAAAGAGTCACGAGTTTTTATTGTTATCTTTTTAGCCTTCTGTAAGTATCCTTTGTGTATTCTTTAGTTTAGTGTAGTATAGTACAGTATTCTTTAATAGTATATAGCATCATAAAATTATAAATTAGCCTTCTGAGAACATGGAGTCAGGTTCATCATTCCTCCCTGCCACGAGGGTCCCCACAAATACAACAGAGTTTGGCCTTTACCTGTAAAAGTTGTCCTTTAGGGCAAGGTGCTGAGCAAAGCACTGGCCTGACTCCTCCTCTGGAGTTGATAATGTGTGCTGGAGCCCATCCAGACGGATCAGAGGAGACAACTTAACCACGAGCTTGTGTCACTATTTGAAAAAATCATTGATGGATGTGGTTTCATGTCAACCCTCCTGGCCTGAAAAGCTTCAAGTGTTGGCAAATCAGGCCCATTAAAGAGCAGAAGCAACACGAATGTTACTGGAGCTCTCAGGCATCACTTTAATGATGCTCCTCAAGAATTTAAGTTTTTTAAATTATTTAAGGCCATGCTCTGTTTTACAGGTGATTCTTACAGCTGGTGTGGTAATCATGTTGTGGAACAGGCCAACAACAGGTAGCACAGCATCCTGGCAGGGATCAGGAAACCTGTGCTGGCTCATGGATAATTCATGTATTGATTTATTTAAAAGGTAGAGCAGCTGTCACAGCTTTTTCAGTTCCTGTTATTCAGGGCCACTCTGTGCTGAGTTCTGACTTTCATTTCCGTGGGCCTTTGCATTTCTGGAATAGCCACAGTGCTGCTTCCAACAGTTTTCACTTGATATGGGAATTGGAGCTTGGACATAAATGTAGGTGTGAGAGGAAGTCAGAGGGGTTTCTCTTTAGTAAACAGAATGCACGTCTCAGCCCGACTTTGAAAGCATTGACTCAAAGATTTTGAAGAGTAATTAAAAACTTCTGGTGGTGCTGAGGTTTTTCAGTCAGCAGCCGTATGGAGCCCACTGTGGGGCAGACTGCAGGGGTTGAACTAATTCTGTTTAACAAAGGCATAGCTGAGTCCAAATGAAAACTGTGTTTTCCTCAGAACCTCACTCTGTTCTCAGCTGCTCAGTCTAAGTTTGAGAAAGCACACCAAATTTAACACAGTGTGTCCAGATTTATTATTCGTTTATAATTGAGGACAGAATCTGGCCATGGTCTGAGTTCATCAGTTGAGCAGAAGTAATGCTGCAAACTGCATCCTTTGCTTCAGCATCAGGCACACTAAATACTTTCTAACTTTCCATCTCATTGAGAACTTTGGAGGTGAGGATTTGTTTTTTGGTCAAGACAAGAAAAACTCACCTTTTTAGTGTTTTATGTATGTTTGCAGCTGGCTGACTGATGACCTTTCCAGTGCAGCCCTGAGACCATTTGTAATAGATGGTGACTGCTGAGGGCAAAGCCAACCCAGCTATGATTTTCTCCACTAAGTTAAGCCAATCAGCAAACACAAATGCAGCATTTTAGGTTACCAGAATATTCATGCATCATTGTCTTTTCTCCCAGGAGCAATTTCCTGCTTATGACGAAATCACTTTTCTTTTTTCCCCTTAAAGCTCAAGTGATAAATGCTTAGGTTGAGTTCACCACAAAGTCCTATTTTACCTCTTCTTATATCAAGATCTCTGTGGATTTCCTTCCTGAATATTAGGGTTTTTCTTCATTTTGCTCAGTTATTACCTGTGTGTGGGTCAGAGTTCAAAAAGGTCCCAGGAGAGCTTTAGCTCTTGAGCTGGTTCCTGTACCTTGTCCCACTCTGGACTTTAAAAAAATGCAATAAAATGGTTACCCCAGAAAGGGACACTGGAAAAGCTTTACATTGAGCATTTGATCCAAGTAATAAACTTGGGATTATTTTATTAACCTTTCCAATTGATTAGAAGTTACTTAAAATAAAGAATAAACCATGGAACGTGATTTTCCTGGAGATTTGTCCTGAGGGCAGCTGTCAAACCAAGGTAAGACTCTTTATTTTGGACTTAGGTTTAAAGAGATGTGTTTAAGGCACGATGCTGCTCTTTCGTGCATGTGCTGGAATGGCCACATTGATCCAGAACAATAAAAAAACAGTTCTGAAACTTATCCCTAACCAGTCATCAGGAACAGAGATGCACTTACTGGAAAGGCCACATTGATCCCGAACAATAAAAGAACACTTCTGAAATTTATCTCTGACCAGTCATCAGGAACAGAGATGCACTTGCTCCTCTGTGCAAGGAGCCTGCCTTGATTTTAGCCTGGAGCTCTCTGGATTCTGGTGAGCCCAGCCCAGTCACCAGCACATTCCACTCTCTGGAATGGGAATTTTAGCCTCTGAGCTGCCCAGAATCACTCAGCTGCTTCCCTTTGCATGGCCAAGGGTGGGAGCTGATGGTGAGTGTTAACATTTTCTCCTTTCTCCCTACAGGACTTGTACCTGCCCCTGTCTTTGGATGACTCGGATTCCCTGGGAGACTCCATGTAGAGCGAGATGTCCACGTTGTGTTTGGGATACAGCAAAGTACCTCTGCCCAACAAGCAGATCCTGACTGGTGCTTTCAAGTCAAAGGACACACGGTTAAATGTCATTTTTGTTCTGTGATTTCTCCTCTCTGTGCCACAAACCAACACCTGCCAGTCTATAGAGATAGAGGGATACCATTCTTCTAAGTTACAGGGGTGCAAAATGGGCACTGTGAGAAATTTGGGGCCTCCGTGCCAATGATTCTGTGCATTTCCCATTTTCTTCTGTTGTTTTTCTGCTGCTGCATCCATGTGGTTTTCCTAGTGTTAGTAAAGTAGTTCCCCTGGAGGTGTGCAAATGGACCCCTTGCTGAGCAGTCTGCAGGCTGGAGCAGGGCAGATGATGTTCTATGTTCTCCACCTGTGCAAACTGCCAGCCTCTGCCAGCTCACCTGCTAATTATTCACAGCCCCAATTTTGGCACCTCCACTCTAAAGAGTCTTGGTTTTATTGTGGAGGAAGGAAGGGAATTTCTAGTCTGATGCTTAATATGCCAGCAGAAGCTTGGATGAGATTAGGAATGATTGTGTCAGATGCTAAGTAAGGTTAGTACAATAATTCAAATAATTCAAATATTGTTTGGGATTTTTTTTTTAAATAATTAAGCAAAAAACCATAAATCAGCTGAGTTATCTGGAGTAGAACACCTTCCACATGCAGTGCTGCTAGCTGGTAACAAATGTTTATACCTCCCCTATGGTATCTCTCTATCTCTGTTTGTAACAGTAATGCCTTGAGAACAGCCAACACTGAAAACACTGTGAGAATTTGTTTTCAGGTTTGACACCCTATAGGTCACTTTTTATAGCAAAAAAATCAATACACTTTTTATAAAGGAAAACCTTGTATCTGTGTTTTGGGAGTAAGGATTCAAGCTCCTTCTTTTTTATAAAAGCTGGTAATTTTCTTTTGTTTAAAAAACACGTTCAGAAAAAAAAAAAAGTACAAAAAAACCAACCACAACTGCAGAACAATAATAACAGCAACTCAGTTTAGAAATCTTGTCATCACTGCCAAAACAGACACATGGTGGGGGGGGGGAAAATGGTCAATTCAAAATATTGAATGTTTTGATAGTTTTTGTAATGTTTAAGACTACGTATTTGGTTTTTTACACTTCAGTATTCCTAACTATGGCCAGATTCTCTACTTATATAACAAATGAAGTTTTGTGGTGTTCTAAAAACCTGTATTTTAAGAAACTCTTCTATCTGAGAAAAACAAACTCGCTGTATTTAGAGAAAGCTTTTGCTTTTATTAATCAGTAATGCCTCCTCCAGAACGCAAAGTTCATCTCCTCACGCAGGGCTGGTGGTTTTTACTGCGCCAAAGCTTCGTCCTAGGCCAGCTGCCATTGCCTCCCTCCCTCATGGAACAAGCTTTGATGAAACTGATTCTTGCAGAACGTTACCTAAATGAAATCTGTGCAATCAAGCCTTTCTTTGTTGCTCTATTTGCTTTTTTTGCTTTTTTTCCCCCCCAACATAGACACTACTCCCTGTTGCCTTGCAACCCCTTGTGATTAGGATGGATTTTATCCTTGTGATGTTCGATGCTCCATGAATGCTGGGTTGTTCCCAAAGCCACTCCACGTTTTGTTTGCTTGCATTGCTGGGATGAAACAATCTGTGCAGGCTGCATCTTTCAAGGCTCATGTGATCATACTTATAATGCAACTTTTTAAAGAGTTTTATCAGAGAGAGGCCAGGATTGGGAATTGTCAAGGGGTCAGAGTTATCATGCACCAAATTTGCACCCAGTAGTCTTAGTGCATGATCATTTCCATCCAGAGTTTTGCACAAGGAACCATTTGTTCTCACTGATAGCTTCATTTAATTGAATAACTCTCTGACTGCACAACTGCTAAATGGTCATTTTAAATATTGTAAATAGAATCCTGGGGTTAGTTCACAGGCTAAGGGCTCCTTGAGGGTTTGTGGGGGGAAGGATGGTGCTGTGGACAAAGCTTGGGCGCAGCAGTCAGCACACCTCTAAGCCCTTGGCATTGCTGAATTTTGTGTCTGAATGGGAGCAGGTCTCTGAGTAACCCTGTGCCTCAATCTGTCTGTCTGTCCCTGCAGGGACAGCTCTGTTCTACCTCACTGGGGGTTGTGAGGCCAGATGTTTGTTAACATTTGTCAAGTGCTTTCAGATCCTCTAACAGAAGGTGCTGAAATATTCTGCGTGCAGATTTGGTTATGGGTGCTAATTTTTGGCTGTTTAATCCTGTGAGTGTTACTGTAGACACTGGTCATGAGCAAAAAGGACTTCTTTAAGCATAAGGATGTCAAAGGCCTTGGTTATGCTAATAACAATATTATTCATCAGAGCTTTTGTCTTAGGGAAAGCTTTAGTGGGACAGATAACTTGACATGCTTTTACCCCCTCCTCTGTTCTGCTGGTGGAAATCTCAGAGTCCCTCCCTGAGTCTCTGCCTCTCCAGGGACCCTGAGCAGTTGCCATGGATGGGCTGGAACTGCAGTCCAGGGTGCTGTCACACTGTGCCAGAGCCATTCCTGTCACAGTCAGGGTGAGCCTGTCCTGCCACCTTTCCTCAGATGAACCAGGAGACCAGCCATGCAGTCCCACCCAGGCTCTCGTGCTGCTCAGTGCAGGACACTCACCACAGATCCACCAGGAAACCCAAATCTGGGCTGATCTCTGCAGCCTGAGCTGCTGGAGCTGCTGCTGGGAGGAAAGGAATCTGGGAGATGCTCTCACCCAGTTTGTGTAAAGAAAGCAGGATCCCAAGGGAGGAATGATGCTTTGTTTGGATGCTTGTTGAGAAGGGGCTCCTTTCCTTCCTGCCCAAAGCTCTGTTTGGTTATTTGGAGATGCTTCTCCTGGTGGAGGATCACTGAGCTCTTCCTCCTGAGCTGCACCTGGTGACACATCTGAGACCTGATCCTGCCAGCTCTCCCTTGGGAATGCAGCTGTGTTTGCATGAGGATCATCCTGTGGTGGGGCTGAGCCCAGCAATTCCTTCAGGGAATTAGGGGGACCTTGAAAAGGCCTAAAAGAATTAAAATTAATTATTCAGTGGGAAAAATAGCCATTCAAACCAGCAGAAGCCACAAAGAAAACAGGGTATGAGGTCAGACTCCCAAGTTTTAAGAAGCAATTTTCTAGGTAGAAATGCCTGGGCAGTAGAAGTCAGTGAGCATTTCAGCTGTAGCATAGAGTGAAGTCTGTATTAATGCCAATATTGCATGAGTTCTTGTACAGAAATGCATGTGGAATGTTATACACATTCAGAACTAGTTATCTTTGGCTTTGTAGGATCCCTCATCTAGATTTGAATACAAAGAGAAACCGTGCACAGTCATCAGACCTTAGGTACTTAAACAGAAGAATAGCCGTGATTCAGGAAAAAACCTAAAAGTTAAAATTTCAGCACGTGCTTTACTCCTGTTGACTTTTCACGAGATTAATCTTGGGTTTGGTCAGAAAGCTTTCCTGAACTGCTGTGAATTAGTAATTACTTCCAATTTACTATGGCAATTCCAGACCCTGTGAGATCCTGGAGCAGATGATAGTAATACCACTATATACTCCAGAGTTCACCTTTCATATTTTTTTTTTTTTACATTTACAAGCACATAAAGCTCCACATGATATGAGAATTTGCCATATTAATTCTGCCATAAAAACCCTGTCTAATTTGCCTCATGAGGCTGCCTTTAGTGCTTTCAGAGACTAATTGAATCACTGAGACGATATTGTTTTAAAACAATACATTATTTAAAAACAAATTGGAGAAACTCTTAAAGTAGCAGGGCTTTGTTTCTTTGAAATCTGTCTTTATTCAGAATAATTTAGCAAATTTGCATATTAAGATCCCTGTTTCAGACACAGTCATTAGGAAGGAATAGTACAGACAAAAGGGTTTAGCATTTTTACACTCAGGTGATGGTCTTGACTGTAGAAAATGAGAGCAATGCAGCAAAACCTTCAGCCTTGGGATTTTTATCACTTGTAAAGCATTTATAATCCTGAAGTTTCTGGTTTAAAGCCTTACCTGCTATATGATTTGCAGCTAGTTCAGTTCCACCAGCTAAATATCTGGAAGTGATTCGGAAAAAGTTTGATAATGGGATTTTACTTTATGGTGAGAGTTGAAAGCAGCTGTCTGTGTTTCCAATATCTGCACATTATTTATTGTCTTCTCAGGAGCTAGAAACCCTAATTGTGTTATTTCCATAGACAGTAGAAGAATCCTGCTTAGAAAACAACTTCCACATCTCTCTCACCCTCAGCTAACTCACGTGTAGGCATCCACACACTTTGTCAAGCTGCTATTTCTCTCCCATTTGCTTGTTCAGTACTTCTGAAGGGGAAAAAAGGAGGCAGAACCAAAAATTGTGGCAAACAGCAAAGCAGTGTCACACCCAGGCATTTCCAATGGGAAGCAAGGGCATTAAAGTGTTGGTTTCTCCTTATCCATATGGATAACATTCCCTAGGATGCCCTGTCTTTTGCCTTTTCACGCCTTTGAGGTCAGTGCTTCTCTTCCTGCTGCTTCCAGCACTTCCCTGTGGGAGTGCTCTGGGATTCCAGGCTGAATCCCTACCCAGACACTGTTCCAGGGACAGCCACCCCTGGAAGTGACATCTTCTCTGCAGGGGTCCAGCCTGGATTTTGCATCCTGAGCCTTTCCCAGTGTGCTGAGAGCATCAGAGTGATTTTGTCACTGACCTTCGTGGTGCCCCACAGCCATGCAAAGCGACCAAGAGTTCTCCTTCACTGTAGTAGAGGCAGAATCATTTTTAGAGAAAGGGGTAAAAACCAGCCAAGTAGATATAAAATTAGCCTAGAAAGTGTCTCCTCAAGCTAAGACAATCCATAACCAGAGAAAAGCTCTGTAGAGGTGTGTTTGCCACACACCAGGTGCTGATCATGACCACAATGGAACAAAACAGCTTTTTTTCCACGTGGTGACTTAGGCTCCAGGTCAGTTTTCTG